CATCTAGTTTCAACATTAGAGGAAAGAAAGTACATAAAATACTCAATGACGTTTCACCAAAACCAGCCACTCTAATCAAAGGGCCCTCTATAGTCACAACAAAACCTCTCAAAGGTCACAACACTAGAGAATACTGGACTTCACAAACATGGGTGTGGGAAAACAAGATGACGCAAACTGGTAAGATCAATTGCTCGAAAATGTACATATATTTACACTTCAGTATAATGGTTTGTGTAAATGTGTGTTAGTATACAAAAAAAAAAGACAAAAAGACATTCACTTTCACGAGGCTAAACATCAGACTCCAAGACAATAGCTGTAGATCAACATGTTAGTATTATTGCTCAGAATGAATGGCCTTTTCAAACATCATCATGCAAAAGACAATAAAACAGCCAGCTATCAGAAGAACAAAAAATCAATTCAGATAAAAGGGCATGAAACAACAAAATTAAAAGTTAAAAAAAAAAAAAAGAAAGAAAACCTCATGTCACTGAGAGAGCATAATTCACTTATCATGAACAATTTTGATAGACATTGTAAAAATATAATTGAAAGAGATTTATTTTTTCCCCTGGTTCCTGGTCTACAGAAGTGACCTCAGATAAATAACACACCTCAGTCTGTACGGGGGTGTTTTTGGTTCCAGTCTTTCCACAAACATTAACCCTAGTGAGGTAAACAAATCTCAACTTTCCAGGAAAACCTGTCCATGTGTACAATGAACCTGACAAATTTATTTAAAACCTACGGGAAAAAAACCTAAGACACACATATGAAGAACTGACAAAGAAGACTGACATTGGCATTGAGATACCCCTCTACAACACGGCAAGGCACTTGTTTGAACTGTGTTTTGCTGAATACGTTTGGGCAAATCTTAGTGAAGTAATGGCAATGGAGATATTTGAAGAGTGTTTAGAGAAAGATGTTAGAAGTGACTAGAATGTGGAGATGCATACTGAAGTTGCTCTCTGCATGAGGAGCAGACACCAAAAAAAAAAAAAGTAATAGAATCACTACAACATGCTTCCACATCAGCAACACTGGTTGTCTGCAGTGTAAAGTGATGTACATTAAAACAAAATTTTGCTACAGTGTAAATATACAGAGCATTCAGCCAACATGTAGGCTTTGAACTTTCAACACCTGAAGAACTTTTCAACGCCATCTAAAAACGATGGTTAAAAAGGCGATTGCTTCTCTGAAAATCTGTAAAAGTAAAGGCAAACTGTTTCACAACGTTCACAACCTGCTAATTTGTATAGACATAAATCTGGAGTACCTCGGCAAATCCTTATTTTCAAGACTTGCCCTTGAATTCAGTATAGGTAGCACAACCAAACACTATCAAAGTTCTTGAACTGGTAAGAACGTCCCAGTTCCAACCCATCCAAGTTGCAGTGAATCACAAAAACAATGGGTGTACATCTTACTGCAGCAGTACCAAGTAAAGTAAGGTAAGGTAAACAATAATCAGCAGTGCCTATATACCATTGCTCAGTCATAGTAGTAAATAAAACAGGAATTTCATCGGTTTTTGCAAGTCGGCTAAATAGGAAAAAGCGACATCAAAATGGAGTTCGAGTTAGTGTTTGCATGAAGCTCTTCATCCACAAGACAAAAATAAAAAACCACCTCTAAAGCTAGCAGTAAACAAAGTACAAACAAAATGTAGACCAGAGTAAGAGCAAAACAATTGGTGAACACTCAAACAAGCAATACAACTGCCGATATGAATTGAACAAAACTTTTTTCACATCATTTTTCTCTTAAAATACTTTTACCAGGAGCAATGTAAAAAAAAAAAATGCAAAGCCTGTATCTGCATACAAGATAGCTTGTGTTCAGGTCAAACACAACGCATGACAAAAATTCAACGCATTAAAAAAAAAAAAAATCATGACTTTGCAGAACAATGTACGGTATACTCTCATTGACACAACAAACAATTTGTCAGTGATGTTCATCAAATGCTGAATTAACAAAGAGATCAGGAAAAAGAAAAAGAAAAACAAAAGCAAATAAATGATAACTTTACAATGATGTTCAATATAATGAAATATATGAAAACTTGTACAAGGCACGGAGAGTGTGGAAAAAGGATTACAACAAGTCTTGCTTTGACCACACTGAAACGTTCATCTCAAGGAGGGAAACGCGCGACAGCAGATTGTCCACAGGCAAAAAAGTAGAGAAAGGCCATCAGTTTCAGTACTAAACAGGGGGGCGGGGGGGAGGGGCGGGTTTCAACCAGCTATCCTCACATGGGATAAGCATCTGAAATTCCTTTTGGCTTTTTTGCTTTTTAAAACAAAGATTTCTCCCCACCATCAAGCTGACTAAAATTATGATACATGATACAAACAGACCACCAGAAACACGAGTTAATATAGAGAGAGACCAAAAAAAGGAGAGACTGAGAGATTTTTTTTTAGCACTTTCAACGACAGTGCTTCTCACAAAGATGGAACAGAACTGTAAGCACTTCATAGTGAACTTACTGTTCCTTTTCTTGATAGAAATGACACAGACTTGTTGACCACGTTTTTAAGACAATTGGTAAATTTTTTTGTACTGATGTTAGAAACATCATAAAAAGAGCCATTTTCTTACAGATATTTGAGGCATGCATCTGCCATATATATATATATATACACACACAGATAATTTTTTATTGTAAATTAAGTAAATTTCTATACTTCACAAACTCTCCTCAAAAAGTAACAACAAAACAAAACTGCGCATCCAACAGAATGATGGGGAAGAAAATATTTAGTATAACTTGGTCTCCAATTCGCTCTTTTCATTATATTAGTATCTTTTGCCATTCACAGTCAGCAATGCTTTCTGCAGCTTATGCCCCCTACGTCTGTAACCATAAATAATTTTCACAGCTTCTACTGAGAACAACGCTAGAACTCAAAGAGTACGAATTTATATGTCAGACATGACTTACAAGAGCTCTGATAACAATAACAACAACGAACAATGAGAAAAGTCAGAACGACGTCTTCATGCAATATTTGCTGTGCTTTGAGTGCTGTAGACAATGATCTGAGCATAAAAAGTAATTGGACACCCCCCTCCTCCCCCTCCAAACCCCCCCCCCCCCCCATAACATCACCATTTCAACCTTCTCTAATAGACAGCTATCTTTGCTGAGATTAAAACCCATTCATTGTCATTTTTACCTGCCTAGCTAAGACGCTGCTAACCGTCTGCAATAAAAATAAGTGAGCCTGCACCAAAGACTTTTCATTTGTTTTCCCTAGAGCCAGTGCTGAACACGGCATTACAAATATAACTGCAGAGGCCATGAAAAGTTAATGTTGTGGTCTCTCTTTTTATTATGAGGCAGTAAGACACAATAAAAGAAAAACTCTTTTCTCCTGCATTTACCTACAGTAAAGTAGTTGAATAAAAGCACATTGCGATATACACAGGTAAAAATATCAAACACATTTTCTGGGTTAAAATCTGGTTTAGATATTTTCTTTTGACAGTTTGTTAACACTGAAAAAGTAAAAAAAATCTAAGGCTTTTTTCCGTCTTGAAAAGGCAAACAAGAATAAAATCTTTACAAATTAGGCTCCAATGGTGCATTTCATGGATGACCCGTTTATTTCTAGTTAGCTTGCGCTGAATTCAACAACAATTTGGTCCATTTTCCCAACCTACTGAAATATGGTCAAAAACCACTCACTTCGTGATACCAGTCACAGTTTGCACTACAGACCTATAGTGTTTAGTAAAGAAAAACTAAAGATATAATATGAAAAAAATTAATGACTGGTAGAAATCAGAAGGCTGATTAAAAAAATGAGAATACATCTTAAAAAATTAAAATAAAAAAATAAAAAATACAATTTATCATCAGATCTACAGCAGTCAAAGCCAGCATCTCTTTTCTTATGAACCAATGTGAAAACTAAAAAAAAAGTATAATATATATATATATCTATATATAATATATATAACAAGTCTTTCAACAGCAACAACGTCAGCAACAGTAGTAACAAAGATAGCTTGGTGGGAAGAGGCATGGGGGGGTCGGGAAGGGATTGCGAGGAGAAGGAGACGGGGAGGGGGAGGGGAAGGGGGCGGTGGTGGAGCTGGTGGGTTCCTTCAGTCCTTTACGAGCTTGTATATGTGGTGCTGGGCACCGTGTTCGCTTGTGGACACCTCAAAGACAAAGGCAATGCATAGAAGAGTCTCTCGGGTGTCGCGATTTGTAACAACCTGAGGAGAGGGGGGAAAAAAACAGGTGGGTTTTAGAGGTTGAGAATGTTCATTTTTAAAGTTTTAGTAAGAGTTTTATTTTATTTTTTATAGTAGTGGGTTTAACGGCGCTCGCAACTGCATACGGTCATATGAGCGCCAAGTGAGAGTTTTACAGCACTTGCAACACAATAAGGTCATATAAGTGCCGAAGATTAGAGGTGTTACAAGAGAGTAACAAACAAAAAAGGAGGAGGAGAGAGAAGGACGATAACTTTTGATAGGAAAGAAGGAGCAAACCACACAAGAGCACCCACCAACCACCCACTGGTTCAGAATGATCAACCGAATCTCAAGTAAAGAGGCTGAAAAAATGCTGCTGAATTGTGGGTAGAGGCTGAGAATGTTACGGTTGAGTTGTAGGTATAAAGGCTGAAAAAAAGTCAACTGAATTGTAGGTACAGAGGCTGAAAAGGTTGTTGAACTGGAGGTTATTGAGAATCAACAAGACAGCAGCCATAAATCACAGAGAACAGATGAGTGTTTAAAAGTATTCCATAACAACATTAGTTGAAAATAAATGAACGAAAAATGGCTGTGTTTATCTATTTCACTGTACTGTTGGATAACTTAATTGAACACTGCACCGATATTTTTTTTAAAAAGAAAGAAATATGGCTAACTGTTATGAGCCTCAAAAGGTAAATGAAGAATCAACTGTCTCTCAGAGAGAGTGAATGGAAGTGTGAATGAATAAGTGAGTGAGTGAATGGGAGGGAGGGAGGGAGGGAGGGAGGGAAGGAGGGAGGGAGGGAGGGAGGGAGAGAGAGAGAGAGAGAGAGAGAGAGAGAGAGAGAGAGAGAGAGAGAGAGAGAGAGAGAGAGAGAGAGAGAGAGAGAGACAGAGACAGAGACAGAGAGAGAGACAGACAGACAGACAGAAAGACAGACAGACAGACAGACAGACAGACAGACAGACAGACAGACAGACAGACAGACAGACAGACAGACAGACAGACAGACAGACAGACAGACAGACAGACAGACAGACAGACAGACAGACAGACAGACAGACAGACAGACAGACAGACAGACAGACAGAGACAGACTGAGCAAGTGAGCGTGAAAGTATGTAACTTTAGCTGTAAAGCACACGAAGCATTCACAGAGGAGAAATTCCCTATATAAACACTATCCACTACTGCTACAATTCTAATCCTTCCAACGACTCACCTGAAGAATGGTAAAGTTCTCCAGCACACTGTTCATCATATATTTCTCTGGCAGGTGCTTGAGTTTGTGAATAAAGTTAATCATGTATTCGCACATGGGAGATCTGTGAATGCGATATATGTAGCGACCATTTTCCATTCTTGCATATTCAGTCTGAAACAGAAAAGAGGAAGGTCTGTATTTCTCTCACCGTCATAGGAATATATACAACGGGGGGCCGTGTAACACAAAACATAGATTCTCAAGATTCTTCAAGAAGCTCTTACATATAAGTACATTCATATCATGATTTTAAGCCTCTCCAAATCAGCCAATTACATTAAAATATATCATACAGAACCCCAAATGAAATAAAATATACTTGTGTAACATTAACCATATCCAAAACGTCATTTTTCAAATCAAAAGCACAACAGGTTCTCCAATTTACGAGTATGGAAAAGAGATCATCCTACTTTTGGGAAAGAGAACAATGTTTGTGGGTGCATGATATGCCTCCTTTGTTGGCATTTACAAAGGCTAGTTACACATAAGTATCAACAAAAACTGCCAGACTAAAACCAGCTTCTAAACTCTGAGATTCTTGAAGCCTCAGACAGTATTTGTGCTTCTTCCTCAACAAATGCCAAGCATCCCATAGACTTTGCTGAACACAGTTTGCCAGTCAGTTTTGCCATACAATTTAAGCGTAAAACAAACACAAAGCCTTTTAAATATTGCTAGATAAATGACTAAATAAAGAGTCATTTTTTAATATTGATTTTTGACTTTAACAACCCTGTAACTCAGTTCGAGCAAATGCGTTTTGCAGTACCTTTCTCCAGGCACTAACACATTTAACCCTATCCGTACGTTGTGTTTTACTATCGTATCCATATGACGTGGGGAACTCTGTGCCACCACTTTCAAAGAGGAAATTTACTTGTTAATCCGATCCGTACGCTTTGAGAAATACTGAAAGTTTCAAAGAGATCTTCGTACTAGAAGTATTCTAAAATGTGAAGAATACAACCCCTGGGGTACAAAATGACCCCAGGGCGTACTAAAGGGCATACCCCCCCCCCCCCTCTCTCTTCCAATAGTCCCTGTCAAAATCGCACTGAAGCAGTATACAATAAGACTAGTTTCATACCTCGACTTTTTCCACAACCTGCTTGCCAAATGAGCAGACTTTTGTGGACACTTCGATGGTCAAGTTCTCATTATTTTCATACCTGTCGAAACAAAAGAAAAAGCAAAAAAACTTAGTAGGGCTCAGGAACAAGAACAGTGTAATGTTGTACAGACTCATTAAACTATTCACCGGTTTGGTTTTGAAAGAGTTTAACTACATTCGCAACACAATTAGGCCATATAACATCTGAATATTAGAGGTGTTACAAGAGTGCAACTAACAAAAAATTGTACACTTCACTCAGTCAGCATAAAAAACAAAAGCATGCCCTCATGAATAACAACCAATGAAAAATCAAACTATACAAAACACAGCTGAAAAAAACCTGTAAATTCTGTGCCATATCGACAGGCCGAAGGGCTAAAACTCAAATGACCGCTGGATCGAAAAAGTAAAAGTAAAGTTAAGAATGCATACTTACAAGCTTGTCACACCGTAAAAAGCACCAGCCTCATCTTGCAAGTTGGTGTTGATATCACCCTGAAGGAAAACAAGGCACAGACGCTATGACATAGGTCTATTAATGTCAGACATATCTGGGCTTACTGATTCACACTGTAAATCGACAGCTCAGTGTAAGAATTCGCCGTACGTAACTTTTCAAAACGGCATGTATATGACGGAGTCTTACAATAAGCAGTCCGTCCAAATGTTTTGTGCCCTCATCAACACAATAGAACAAATTTAGGAGGCAAACAGGTTTGACCCTGAATGTCAGAGGTTAATACATGCTTGAGTGGGATACTGTATCCTAGCAAAACGAAAACTTGTCCAGTAATTTATATGCTAAACATACATCTCATTCCAGTTTTTAAAAAATGTTTATAGCAGAGGGTTTTACGCCGCTCGCAACTGCCTAAGGTCATATGAGCGGCGAGGGGTGGGAGTCAACAGAGAAGTCTTTACAGGGAATCAGGCTTACTCTGCTCACCTCTCTAGCTTCAACAGCACAAGGTCTGCTTCGACTATCAAGGCACCCAAAAATAGCAGGTCACAAGGGAGTGACAAACATACAAAAGAAGTAGAGGAAAATGACAATAGTAAGGGTCAGGAAAGAAAAAGCAGCAGTTCCCAGTTGTAGATCAGGCACAGTTATGAGCGTGACATGAATCAGCCCATTTACAATTCTACTATGCTTGAACGAGATATGACCCCCCTTTGGGAATGGCCTAAAGACACTTCAGTCAGTGGCACTGCCCCCCGGGGGGGGGGTTCTCATTTCAGTGTCTGGGAAAAATCTTATATTCCTGCTACAGGACTCTTTCTTATAAAAACAAACAAAACTGTGGCTGTTCTTAGGACATTAAATACATAACCTAAAATATCAGGATATATGTACTATTATGTCAAGAAAGAAGAGATAGGCTGTGAACTTGTGAATCTAGTAACCCAGTACTTAGTTGAAAGAAGACAAAAGGGCAAGAAAGCAACAGAACAACACCCATTTCAAACAATTCAATTATAAAAAGCACATTGGACATCAGCGACAAATAAAATTTAAAACATAAAAATTACCCAAAACTTGACGAGGAAGAAGGCAGAGGCAGGACCCTTGTCATAGAGTTCTTTCAGACCACCCTTCTTCTCGGGAAATTTGTCGTAAATCTGTCGAATATCTACTGCCTGTAAAGAAACAAGAAAAAAATAAATATGCATGTTAAAAGAATGCATCCTCGAAAAGAATTAAACATTTCTATACAAAGGGAGCACGAGGCAGGGGTAGGCCACGAGAAACATGGAGGAGAGGTCACGAGGTGTGGAAAGGGACATGAGAGAGATGAAACTCACTTGGAACGAGCTAGGAAGGATGGCCCAGGACAGAGATAAATGGAAGGAGCCTGTTTGTGGCTTTTCCTTGCCAGGGGTGAAAGGCACTGATAATGATCCATAATGTATAAAAGTTTACAACACAATCACAATCTCATTATGTTAGTTCAAGATCACAGTGACATGCCTTATCATTTATTTCAACACTTTCCTGAAAAACTGGAAAAAAATCATTCCTCTCAGAGATGAAAAGTTTCAATTAAAAATTTGAGCTGTCTGACAGTTGACAAAGTCAGTCAAACTTACCTCTAAGAGGGGATCGTTGTACGTTGCAGTTGAACCAATGTGGACAAATAAATGCTTATGGTACTGAAAAGGAAAAAAAAAATTGTTACAATTTCAAAGATACGAAAAAATGTGCATGGTATTGAAAGGGGAATAAGTGGTTATGAATTTAAAAATAAATATAAATGCTAACGGCATTGAAAGGAAAAAGAAAAGGTTATCATTTGAAACATATAGAGTAAATTCAATTAAAAACAAAAGCCCCAAATAATGTGGATTCATAAGACACTCATAGCTTGGGACAAGCACCAAAGTATCCCTCTTCTTTTTATCCATAACAACTATATGTGCACGAATAGAACACAACATTACGGGACCATTATGAAACAAATTAAACTACAGAATATATTAAAATTACAGTAAGATAAAGAATTGAGGAAAATAAACCCCTTGTCTTTTTATTCACTTCTCCCGTTAAAGTCAAAGACAGATTGAATACATTTCGAAACCATTATTATGTTGTATTCTTGAAGTGAACATATCACTACGGTAATTTATAGTCAAACGCAAACACACAAAAAAGCATCTTCGTTAAAAAAAATAAAAAAATCTTAGTTCGAGATGAACACCAGAGACATTTTGATACATGAGCGTCTATGACACTGCACACAAAGGAACAGTTTGTTCACTCACTGAGTCAGGATCTCTGGGTTGTTCTAGGAAGGCTGAGAATTCTACGAGCCGTAGCTTGGGACCCGCTATGGATCGTCCCTGCCACGGAGGAAGGGCCATCTCACCAGAAATAGAGGACGGAAGTTTGGAGTCGAACCCATAGGCTGGTGCAAATGGTTTTACACTGAAATAGGACAGGGGGGAAAAAAAACCATCATTAACTTTTGTTACAGTCACAGTACAGTTCTTTAATAAGGTTTAGATTCTGTAGAATTTCAACAGGCATTTACAGTACCAATGAATCTCCGTGAATTTTTTAAGCGCATTTCTTGGGCTGCGGAAGTTTATTTTATTTTTAAAAATTCTACGTGGCTTCAGCGTTCTAAACTGGTGTTGTACTTGAGAGTTTTTCGCTATATGAGCCTTTGGTATTGTAAGTTAAATTTTTTTACTTAAGGCTTGATTTGATTTGAACAAAAAGCAACAGACTATCAATGAAAAAACTCTTGACTTTCCAATAAAATAAATAACTTCTGTATGAAACAGTCACAAGACTAAATGAAGGAACAGGCGCGACACATTCTTAATCACAGGTTACTTTGTTATTAAACAAGTCCTTTCTGCAACTAAAACATGACAGAGATCAAAGTCTAAAAGAAGTGCCTCAACATTTCCACAAAGATAACCACTTCTTGAATGAAACATCTATAACTTTTACTATCCTCTTGCCCATGAAGAATACAGGTCATTCTAAAGATTAAAGGGGGACTTTTTTCGTTTTGATTCTTTTCTAATCTCATCAAAAAAGACAATTTAACTGGTAATGAGGAAAAAAAAAACCATCCTATGATCATGATGCGAATTAAATTGTAAGTCTTGCAAGACATTTTCCTGACATACTTTGATTTAGAGCAAATGAACACAGTACTTTGATTCATTGAATGTACTTAGCTGACCAGACAATGACAATGAAATTACTTACTCTCCTTGAGACAAACCAGGTTGCCAGATCTGAAGGGGAAAAAAAAAAAAGAATTAGTCAGTAATATAACCTTTCACAGAAATTTTGAAATTCTGTGATCACTTCCACTGCATTTGTACATTGATACGCAGACAGACAGACTGACAGAAACTGCAGAGGGAAAGAAAAGAAGCAGACCTACCAGTTGTTCCCTCCAACCACCCACAATCACTCCCTTAAATACTAGACAAAAAAATTAGGAACAAATGCCAATCATTTTAAAAGACTTTTCAAATAAAGAAAAAGACATAGTAACAGCAGTTTCCCACTAGGAGTAGACAAGGACAACAGAAATACAGAAGTAAAAGGACCCTACCAGAGAGTCATAATAATAAATAAATAATAACAATTTATGCAAGACGCGCACCTCTTTTCCACTCTCTTCCCACAGGTAGACCAACCAGATTTTGAAGCTATTTATGTGTCACTGACCTTCACAATTAATAAAGGTATAAAAAACAACAAATTCGGGTCACATCTAATTGGTGGTGGTATTATCACACTTATAGCTCGCTACCTCAGAATTACAAAGTTCTATGACATTTTTGGCCCGTTTGAGTTACAAAGACCATGAGGTAAAAAAACAAATGCCCTATTTGCTCAATCACAATCGTAAGATTATTCGGAGTAGTTATCAAGATATTCAAAGAATTTCATTCGAAAAAGCTTGACATGTTATGAAACAAACTTTTCTACATCAGATTTCTCAAAACTGGGTACTGAGAAGATATAACTTTGCATTTCTGAGGTGGCAGACTGTTGTCCTCGACAGTGGATGGCTGGCCGTCTTAGACTATTTCGTGTGGGTGGTTGGCAGGTGCCCTGGTGTGGTTTGCTCCTTCTTTCCTATAAAAATTTTTTCTCAAAACTCAAAACTAGGTACTGAGCAAATAGAACTTTAGGCTATAATTCTGAGGTAGCCAGCTACATTTTCCGTCTCTCTCCCTCCCCGCCCCCCTTACCGACGGAGCACCAGGATAGGGCGGCCTCACCGGCCCACTGGCCATGCTGGGAGGCAGGCCGCCCAGACCCCCGGCCAAGGCCTTGTTGTGGATGGCGCTGGCCGACACGATCTGGGCCGAGGACATGGAGGCCATCTGCTGGAGGGCTTTGTCCCGGGCCGCCTGGTCCTGGAGGTTGGTCTGTGGGAAATGTAGACGGAGGAAAAACTTGCTGTCATTATATTGTTCAACTTACTATAAACAGTAAAACTGGAAAGAGCTGACAGCTTATTTTTAAACAGACATATGTACATTATTGTATGTGAGGCATCATGGTGAAATCAGGCTCTCGTCAAAATATTGAAATTCGAGAAATCTGCATTTTTTGGTCAGTTTGGACATTTTTTTTCAATTTTTTGTTTTTTGGTCAACACCTTGTATGTCCATTCAAAACACTTTTATATGTGGATTTTATGGACAAATGTCGATTAAAGGCAAAAAATGTAAACTTGCAGTGCCCAAGGACTCTTAAGCTTTGGAAGTCACCAAACTTTGGCGGCCATTTTATCGCTAATTTTACTTTTGAAAAAAAGGCAACCCCACCTTTTTCAATCGCATATATCTCTACTTCTATTCCAGATAAATGGAGGGGGTTTTTTCATGGAAAGTAAAGCAAATGAATAGCCTTTAAGATGATACCAATAACTCCATATGCCAAAAAAATGACGAGCGCCTGATTCTGTGACACATATTATTATAGTCTGTGAGAAATGTAGGCACAGAAAACTTTCTGTCATTACATATCTCAACTCACTGAAGGTGAAACAGGAAAGAGGTAAGAGCTTATTTTTGTCAAGGCAACTACTATTGTAGTCTGTGGGAAATGTAGGCATAGAAAACCTGCTCTCAGAACATTGCTCTACTAACAGTGAAACTGGAAAGAGTAAAGAGGCAGACATTGCTGGAAACTATACAAACAAAATAGTTCATCAAGTCAGCTTTCATGAGCACATCAACTTTTAATTAAGTTTTTAAGTCACGACCAATCTGCACCATTATTTACAACAGCTAGACAACCTTTCCGGTAGTTGAAATAAGGCAGAGCATTTGATCCATATTAGTGTTGTAATATCAACATTAGATCTAAATGCCTTCTCTCAACACTGCAGGGAGGCTCAGTTTTTAAACCCACCCCTGAGATCCCTGTTACAAAATAAAAAAACCCAAAAAGATCCAAACATTGCACACACATTTTCACTCAGGACTGCGGGAACATGCAGAGCAAAGGGTGAAAATAATCATGCAAAAACGCTTCAACACTGTGAAGAAATGCAGATGAAAGCAGGTTTCCTGCTCTCTTTTCATAACTGATGCACCCCAAAGTAAAAAGAGGGCCCCTTGGCTGATTAAACATGCCTTTTTAAAAACTTACAAATAAAAACATATTTGTTTCCTTACATGAAATGCCTTCGAGCAACAATTGATGTGTGCAGTTGTCAAAGTACTTGGCTATTATACTCCTCTTACGAAGATTTTCTCTTGCAAATAATTTATTATTACGATTTTTCATCTTCTAATACCACATATTTTTAACTACATGATGTAAGCCAATGTCTTTTAATCAACTGAGGAATTTACGCAGGATCAGAATGAAAAGCACTATACAAAGTTGACAAACGTAATATCTTTAAATCATATTGAGGCAAAAACTTCCCCTGTGTGTCAACTGAACAGGACGATGGGATTTATCTCACATCAAAGTAAAAGTTTCATTGTGTGAACTGATCTATAATCTACAAGCTTGCTTCATTATGCAGGGACAGGCAAAACGCCAAAATTGTGATCAAACGAATGACGACCACGTATGAAATCATTCTTTGAAAGTTTGAAAGGTGTAAACTGTTCATTGTTCTGTTTCAACACCCTAAAGTACAACCTAAAACCATAGCTTCCCCTCATCGTTCCCCCTTCCCCTCATCGTTCCCCCTTCCCCTCATCGTTCCCCCTTCCCCTCATCGTTCCCCCTTCCCCTCATCGGTATTGCAAAGTGATCAAAGTGGGACAATAAAACTGAAGTCTCTTTCAATGACAAACAGATCAACGTTATCAAAATCTTGTACAATAAACTCTTTAAGTGTAACAAAATGCAGTTCAACACGAAATTCCTGTTTACACAAAATGATTTCAAGCCCCTGATGTTTTTTCCCTTCTTTATTCTATGCATTGCAGCTTCCCTTAATTAGGAAATCTGCTCAACACAAAACAATTATCTTGTCTTGTGAAGTTCATGTTATCATGGTTCTACCGCACATCTCAAATATAGTATACCCGGTGGTGGCATTATCAGAATCACAGGTCTGAGCTCCAAAACACAATAAATTTGTTCAAAGAAGCAACAGCACCATTTTTTTTTTTTTTTACCCCCAAAAAAACCCATTGTCTAAACTTGGAGTAAACCCTGAAAAAAATCCTCATTCCTTTGAACAGTCGGTCAAATGAAAAAAAAACAAAACCCAAAAAAACTATTAAGTCTAAACTTAAAGAGTTATCCCTGAAAAAAATCCTTATTCCTTTAGCACTTTGCAGTCACACACCCAGCAGTACAAAATACCCCATCTGGTCATCCAGCCAGAAGAGAGACTGCAATGGACTTCTCGGGCCTGGCGCAGTTCTGACCGAAACGGATAATTTTCACTGTCGCATTATTGCGCCAAGTGACCGCAAAGTGTTAAACAGAGTCAAACAAAAAACCATGCACAAAAAACCCCCAAACAAAACAAAACAAATGACACATACACAGCAAAAAAAGAAGAGGGGATCACTCACACTTACTGTGACCTTCAGCTGGGCCTGGATCTCTTTGGCCTTCCGTCGGGCTAATACTTGGATGTGGCTGGACACTTGTTTGCGGGTGCGCGTCTTGCCCGTGCGCAGCTTGATGTACCTGGCAATCAACTCATTGCGACCTGAAAAACACAAACAAACAACGCAAAGAGTGAACAAAACATTGCTCATTTTAGTTTTAATAAAAGTTTTACCGCACTTGCAACACAATAAGGTCATAAAAGTTTCCAAGATCAGAGGTCGTGTTATAAGGAGTTAACAAACAAAAACAATAAGGAAGAAAGATAAGGACAAGAGATGGTTGATAGAAAAGAAGGAGCAAACCACACTAAAGTACTCGCCAACTACTCACTCAAAACATTTTTTAAAAACTGAAAAATATATACAGACAACGCAAAGTGTGAATAAAATATTCCAAGATATTAACTTAGACTGACCTGAAAAATAAACATAGTCAATGTATAAATTACGAAAAAAAATATTCTTAGCAATATAATGTACCGGGACTTGAAAAACAATATAAAGTACAAAATGTGAGTATTCCTTAGCAACCTGACCGGGAAACGCCAAAAAGAAAAAAAAGGCAAAGTTTGAACCAAATATTCCTGGCTATTAACCCATAGTGGTCTGAAAAATATATCACACAGCGAAATTTCGAAAAATATTTCTAGCCATCGACTTGTTGAAGAAAATATGTGCAAATAAATCACACAAAATTTGAACAAAGCATTCCGGACAGAAATATCTCCAAAAAGCAACAGCACAAGTTTAACAGAAAAAAAGGACCAATGAAAACACAGCTGACCTAATCAACCAGGTATGCCTGAACATGAGAAAAACATTTCACAATCATGCTTGGCGAATGTCTATGGGCTGAAGCTAAACACTTTGAAGACATACACTGCACAGAACAAAACAGAGCCAAGTGGGTGGGGACTCCCCAACAACTACAAGTTAAAAAATGCTTCCCCTTTGGGACTCAAACCAGGGTCAACTAGATTACAGTGAAATAAGATACCTACTGAAGTAAAGTTGGGACCACCATAACAGAAAATGTATAATTACATCAGCGAGTGAAAGTGAGTCAGACTTCTATTTTCGTAAGTGAAAAAAAAAAAGGGGGGGGGCATCACAGAATGCCGGCATGCTTAAAAGAATAGTGATAGCATAAAGGTTTGTTTATTTTTAAATGATTAAGGCTGTGTGCATGCTTGTGAGTGTGTGTTTGTGTGTATGTATGCGCCCATGTGTATATGTTTGAGTGAGGCCGTATGTGAGTGTGTGAATGTATGTACTCGCTCGTACACGAGTGTGTGTGTGTGTGTGTGTGTGTGTGTGTGAGAGAGAGAGAGAGAGAGAGAGAGAGAGAGAGAGAGAGAGAGAGAGAGAGAAAGAGAGAGAGAGAGAGTGTGTGTGTGTGTGTGTGCGCGCGCGTGAGTGTAAGTGGACCTGCCCGTATGCAAGTGTACGTGTGCCCCCGTGTGTATGCACGCGCGTGTGTATCCTCATCAATGACAATACAAAACCTGCATGAAAAACCCCCCCAAAAACCTTAAGTCACTGTCCAAAAGTTCGCTCGGCGAGCAGAGACGTCAACAACGACAGAAAGTCTATCAATATCGGCAGCTGCGCGAAAACGGCGACTCTTTGCCAAAATGTAAACTCGTTCATTAAGATGGCGGAGGCCATCACCACCCAGCGCATGACTTTACATTTTATAACTCGAGATAAATGTTGCTACATTTTGTGTACATCCAATTACACGAGCGCCAAGAGTCTGACAGAAAAGTCTCCGGAAAACTTTAGCACAGCACCAGTGTCCGTGGAACAAGACAGTGATCGCCTGGCAATGCAGAAATACAAGAGATCAATCCTAACACGGAGAAAGACAGCTTTAGTGTTCAAACATTAAAGAGCAAACTATAATTTTGGCGCTCATATGATCTTTTGCAGTTGCGAGCGCCGTAAAACCCTATACTATAAAAAAAAATATATAATTGAGTCTCCTCATTGAGGCCCCAGAATACAGTGTCCAACAGTCTGCCCCTAACGATAGTGTACATTGTACCGATGCACGGCATAAAACATGTACAATCACTCGCAATTATAATACGGGGCGCTCCGTTGGCCCGGGTGGTAGGTATCGCGCTGGACTATGAAACGGACGGCTCTGGTTCAAATCTCCTACAGGGAGTTCCGAACTTGAGTAATTTTGTGCAGTTATCAAGGCCCTTTACCCATTTGGCTAGGTCTTATCGGAGATGGACGTGTAATTCCGAGGGTCCACCTAATAAATAACCTAACTGCATTGAAATTGGGGTTGAATCTTTCCACTCGCTCACAATTAATTAAATTGTCGCAAAATGATAACATACAGTCATATAGGCCTGGTAGTACTGGAAGGTAGGTCTGTTGGTAGGTAGGTTGGTCCTGATACTAGTGGCAGGGCATGTAGGTCGGTAGGTAGGTCCTGATACTAGTGGCAGGGCATGTAGGTAGGTAGGTAGGTCCTGATACTAGTGGCAGGGCATGTAGGTCGATAGGTAGGTCCTGATACTAGTGGCAGGGCATGTAGGTCGATAGGTAGGTCCTGATACTAGTAGCAAGGCAGCTAGGTAGGTTGGTCCTGATACTAGAATCAAGGCAGGTTGGTAGGTAGGTCCTGATACTAGTAG